TGAACTATAAAAAAGTATTCACAAAGTCTATATCTACATATATATACAATATATAGATTAAATCTATTAAAATAACCTTTTGAAGTCAAAGATTCTTGGCTGTTAGTATCGCACAACATCCAACAATTTAACGATATGTGCTCTGAATACTTATTTCGTGAAATCCAAAAATATGAACAGCCTTTTGAAATTCCGCCGCCATTTGGCTTTTGTTTTGCAAAATGACAATATACCCGGTGCCCATGAACTGTGTGTAAATACAGCACAAAAACTACGTCATTATCCGACATACACAGAAAAAACACCATGCACGTCCAGTTTTTCTGTAATTTTGTATACCCTATCAGGGTATTATAATTTTACTCAGAAGTTTGCAACGCAGTGAAGGAGTCTTTTTTAATCATATAATGAATATATATTCTTGATCTTGTGAGAACGTTTTGGAAAACAAATTATAACTTTTCCTGTTGTGAATATAATTCTACCTAATTTGAGATAAGTCCATTGTATATAATTTTATAATTTAGGTTTTAATTTTATTAAAATCGGCTGACTATATCATATAGCTGCCACAGATCGTTAGATGTAAAGGAAAATGCAAAACTGTGAGCGTAGGACCGTAAATCCCTCGTACGCTCTCCCTCTCTGTCCCTCTTACTCTCACTTTCACTCTAACTCTCCTTCTCTCTCGCTCTTGCGGTATGTCTTTCCCTCTGTGTGTTTCTCTAGAGATGCCTCTTTCTCTCTAGCGCTCACTTTCTCTGCTCTCTTTTCTCGGGGAGTATAAATAGAGGTACTGGAGTCGCGCGCGCTTCAGTCTGTTTGCGGCCTCCCGCCTGTTATCATCTATAGTGGAAGTGATTAGTGATAGTGATTAGTAATTGCCCTTAGATCCCAAAAATATATCTTTGGCTTACTTATGTATGATTGATGATCATGATCATGCAAGTGTATACAAGCTTCGACTTTTCGAAGATAGCTTACTCTTTTGTTTTTGGTTGAGGTCTTATCCAATTTCCATACACTGAAATATATGGGGGCCAACTGTTGGATGTGCATCACTAGAAAAGTTAGCGAGACAGATGAGGGTCAGCCCAGATATTTCCTAGTTCCCGCCTGAAAGGGGAAAAGTATTTGAAAGTCGTGAAGTAACCTTTAATGATAATTTTTGTATGAATATTTTAATGGAACAAATATTATATTATGGCTACATTGAGAAAAACCTCCAATTAACTCAAAATTGAAAAAAAACAAAACACGCAGTCATTAAAAAATTTGTATTTTTATTTAAAAATAGCTCAGTTTCCATTGGAAACATTTTATAATATAAAATTAAGCCTGAACTTAAATTCTAAAAAAACACTCTTCAAATGAGCTTTAAAAAATAGGTTTCTTAACTATATTAAAGAATTTCAAATTAATTATCTCTAAAATCCATTTTATTTTTAAGATTATTATTTGGTCAACTTTAGGAATTGATTTAAAATCCATCCCAATTTCTGTATGTACAATATTAAGTTTCGAGTCAATTTTTGGAATGTATGGGTTTGTGTTTACCATTATGATGACCGCACCTATAATATCAGCATATGTATAAATCAAGGATTTCCTACTTTCACCACTCTCTCTCCTGCATCCTTGCACAAAAGGACGAAAAGGGAAACTATACACATAAAAAGAAAGCACCCATAGAGACACACTCATTCACGCACAAAGGCAGCACCGAGGAAAGCAGGGTTGTGAGTGGGTGGCGTCACCAACTGAGCAACAAGTTTTACAACAGGAAGAAAACAAGACAGGACACAACAGGACAGACTTATATAAGCAGTGCTGCGCTTTTAGCTATTTCTGTAACCCTAAAAGGGTATTATAGTTTCAGTTGGAAGCTTAAAACATAGTGAAGGAATCATATCCGACCCTATAAATCATATATATTCTTGATCAGTATCAACAGCCGAGTCGATCTAGACATCTTGGGTGGAAAAATAAAATTTTTAATTTTTTTCAAAATTTTTTAAGGGGTTACATCGTTAAAAATTGTCAAAAAATTCAACAAAAATTTTAATTTCTTAAAATATTAAATTGAGTATGCAGATGTATTAATCTAGTAAAAACTTACATAGGACAGCTTTCCGAATTAAAATTAATGCTTTTTTGGCTGAGTTATGAAATTTTATATATTTGATTTGTCGAAAAAAATTGCCATATAAAAATATAGATAAATATCGATTTAAGGAATTTGAACATTTTAAATGCTTTAATATAATGGATTTCCCATTATCTTTTTATATCACAAAAATAATATAAACATAGCTGAATATTGAAAATAGGGAAAGCAGGGGCTTAAATCTCTTTTTATTTAAATTATTTATTGATTCTTTGATCAACTCAATGACAGTGTTGTGGGTATTTTTCTTGGTTACTTAACTTTATTTTATAAACACAATGCTGGAAAGGATGCACTTTTTATTAGAGAACATAAAACATATTTCAAGTTAAATAAATTAAAATATATATATATAAATAAAAAGGAACTTACATATTAATAATGACATTAAGGACACTGACTTAGCCCTTTTCTCTTCGAATTTATTGTCAACACTCGTGAATAGAAATTATAATTGCCAATGGGGAGTTGACTTTGTTTGCGGGGACATTTTCATTTTCAATGTTAATTTGCATTTTAAGTTGCACAATTGTAAGTCATCGCTGCCATTCCATTGAATTTGTGTGGCAATTAAATGGACTTTGCTTTGGCCAATTAGGTTGGTAAACAAGAGGTTCAAGGAAGTTTTAATGCTAAAAGATGATTGGGACAATGCAAACACAAATAACTATTTTTTATCTGTGGGGGGAAGCTGCAAAAATAAATATTTTTTCAATTAAATGTTTTTGTGAAGATTTCCTACGATCGCAAAGGTTTGTGCCTGCGAAAGATCACTGTAAGCAAGCAGCTGATTGATCAGATGTTCAGTAAGTCTGTTAAAATTCTCGTTAATTTAATGAAAACAAATAAAAGAATTGTCTGGCAACCTCGATCCCTTGCTCACTCATACGGCGCAACAAGTTAATGTAGAAGAGAGTCAAAGAGACGGGGAGAAAGAGAGCACGAGGGAGAGCAAGAGCATTTGCGCAACTGCAACTGAGTCAAAAGGCCAACAAAGAGAGAGAGAGAGGAGCCTGCAGACGATTGAGGTTGTGGTGTTTTATGGGGGACAGTGACAGGTAGCGGCAGTCAGCACATTGCAGCATGACTTTCCAAATGCAGCGCATCAACAACAACTTCAGACAAAGAACGAATGTAAACAAAGAAGTCAGGCAGGCGCATTGTTGCATTGCCTTGTTGTTTGTGGATTTTGGCAAGCGAAGTGCAAGCCAGTTCTACCTCTCTCGCTCGCCCTCGCACAAAGCATTAGAATTCGATCTTGAAACAAAACAAACGTACTCTCCACTGGCAACGGAGCGGCGGCTCTCTGGCGCTCTCTTCGATTGCCTTTGGGAGCACAGGCAGCAAAAGCGGACATATGCACAGTGGGTACAGAGTGCAAGTATATTAACTTTAACTAGGAAGGGGCAGGAATTCTATAATTAAACTATAACGAATATTAATAGAATTATTTTTCAAAACTAAAATCAACAATAAAAATTTGTAACAAATAAAATATAATACAATTTGTTTCCTTGTTGTTTTCCTAAAATTTTTAATTAGTTATTACAAAATTGAATTAGCTATTTTTGGTTAAATTTCTGCTTTGTATGCAGCTTGCTTTAAAGAACAAAAAATGAAGCTTTAAAGTGGTGAACATGTTGGTAATACAAAAATTCCTTGCATATTTCTTTTATTTCAACTTTTTTTCTTTCCAATTTACCGTTGTATTCTACCTGTCACTGCGGGTTACCGAATGCAGTCCTTTTAAAGCTCATAAAAAACGCTTCAATCAGCAAGGGATTTTTTTTTTTAACTCATAAAAAGGACCTTTGAAAGTTGGGAACGTAAAAAATAAAAAGCAAACAAGAAAACACAGCATGACGCTGGGCTCCATGACTTTTTGGTCCCACTGTGCGGCGGCCAGGCAGCGGCAGCGGTGGCAGAGCAGCGACGGGACAGGCCGTCGGCAGAGCAGTCAGTATCGATTGAACAGCCGCGCGTACCCCATCAAAAGCAAAGAACCGAGGAAGAGACGCGAAGAGAGTGAGCGAGCGAGCGAGTGAGTGAGTGTGTGAGCGAGCGAGCAAGCTAGTGAGTGAGACGCACAGGGCGATAGAGAAGGAGACAGGAAAGGGAGCACGCTCTGACAGTGACTGAGACGCAGGCGGAGACGGAGACGGAGACAGTGAGCGCCTGCCGCCCCCTCTTTTGTAATAAATAGCGCTGTGCACGGCGACCACGCTACCAAACGGCAAGAGTCCGTTGAGAGCGACGCTCAAAAAAAAAAAAAAACAGAAGAAAAAAGAAAGGAAACAAACACCCCCACCCACTCATCCCTCCTCCCCCCTCTTGGAACAAAAGGGAGAAACAACTGTGGTGAACGTGAAAAGAACAAGTCCAAAAACACAGCTGGATATAAAAACTAATAAAACGCACTGTTGGCCAAAACAAAGGGCCAAATGTGGAATTCGTAAAATAAAAAAACAACAAATAAAATAATATAAATCCATTAAAAAAGACTCCAGCAAGTGCCTTAAAATAAAATCAAAACAAAAGATTATAATACAACAAACCCACCAAAACGGAAAGTGATAAAACATGATTTTTTAAAACCCAACAAAATCAAACATTGATCAAAAGCAATAAAGCCGTATTTTTTTCACCCCACTCTTTTTTTTAATGTGCTACAAATAATAAAACCTAATTAGACCACACAATCAAGATAAATAAATAAAAAATAAAACAGCAATAAAGGAATACAAAAGCAAATCTATAACAAAAATAAAAACAAATATCGAAGAAGAGCCGCAACGTAAAAAATATCCATAAATCTATATATACTACCACACACCTCCATATATATATATATACATATATACAAATCTATATGTATATATAGAGGAAAGAGCCAGAGAAAACAGCGAAAAACCAAAGGCAGCTAGACAAAAGCAGAAAAGCAGCAGTCCAGGAAAAGTAGAAGACGCGGCTAAAGGAGGAGGTGGAGGAGAACACAAACAACAAAGAGCAGCAGCAGCGGAGGAGCAGCAGCAACAACAACAACAACAACAGCAGTGGAAATGGCCAACAAACAGCCCAGAAAAGTGGCACCCGATGGCGGTTGGGGCTGGGTGGCCTGCTTTGGTGTTAGTTTGGTTAACGTAAGTATCATAAAAGATTACCCCTAAAATATGCCTAAAGCATTCCAGTTCCAATTAATTAGCTATGACCTTTTGAACCCCAATGCGCTTAGGATAGGTTAGTTTCCCCATAGTAATTTGGCCCAAAAAACACGATAAGATTCATATATGAATTATGACTTTATTCAATACGCATTTTCACATGTTTACACATTGCTCCGCCCTCTCGATTTATGGCCATAATATCTATAATATCAGGGGCGGCGGCGGCTCACAACTTAATCAATAATAAATCCCTTAATGGACACAAAAGCTTGGTTTATTATTGTGGCTGTTCAACAAATGACACAATATATTCAAAGTGGTTTTTGTTTAATGGAACGCAAACTTAAGACTCATTAAAAGGTTATTTGGTGAATGTTACAAAATCATTGGTAATGTTTTAAGCATTTAACAAATGTGAAAGTATATTTTTCAAAAGGAAAAAAACATAATACTGGTTTGAAAACAATTAATAGCTATCTGTAAAGCAATTTTCAATTGCACTTAGCCTTTTAGATATATGTTTCTATATCCCTCTGTACAGATTAAGCTTGAATTGCAATATAATTAATCATTTACAGAAAGAAATCTCATACCGAACTTCTTTATCCTTTCGTTTAGGTTAGACCGCTTTATAATTAATTATATATAGTCAGAAATCTCAAACAAAAACCCTAAACAATTATCAAATTGGGAAAAAATAAGGCAAACAAAGCCTGGCTTCTACCTGACCACTTGTACCCTGTATCTTGTATCTTGCATCAGTGTTTGTATCTGCATCTGTATCTGAAGCATATTCTGGCTGCTGCATTGATTGGAACTCTTCTGGATGCAGACAGGGAGACAGTCTTTTTTAGGGTTGGAAACAGCTGCTCCAAACTTCAAGCTGAAGGGGAGAGAAACAGGAGATCCCGATCAAGGCCATGGTTTTTGATCGAATCTTCTATATAGAGACTGTCACGCATTCGCCGCGTGATCTCTCAACAAATGCGTTTCTCAACAGTGTTTTTCTTTTTTTTATTCTGTTTTGTTTTTGTTTTGGTCTTATTCAGTTTTTGTAGTTGGTTCTCTGAGTGTGTGTGTATATATGCGTACATACAACATTGTTTTTATTTAGTTTTTTATTTTTATGCCTCTTTTGTTTTTCCTTTTTTACTGTGGCAAACAAGGTGAGGCGGAATAAAGAAGGCCCAAAATCAGTTGACATAGAATTATATATATATCATATATGGAAAGAATATTTCTTTTTGGAACACATCATCAAGAGCGTATGATATCATCATTATGGGAATGTCCTTTTACTATTTCCTTAGCTTTACTGGAAAAAACAAAAGAATTTATGGTTAATAAAAGTAGTTTATGGTATAATATTAATATATTTAACATATGTACTTAACCGATTAATTTTCCTTCAATTGTACCATCCTTTATAGTTATAGATCCAATCTAAAGAAGAAACAAATGAAACCATTGTTAGTACAAGATATTATATCCCAACAGATATATCTATATTAGTTACTCTCTTGCATTATGACTCATTCCAAGTGTGAATGTCACATTATTCAGATCTTGGCAATTATGTAATAGCCTTTAAATTACCCATACCTTTCCACATCTTTCCATATGAGCAATGACTACTCTCGGTAAATGAGTCGCAAGACGATATGCAATTAGACATGCTAATTTGTGTGTAGCCAAGCAGAATATCTTGAAAATTGACAGCACAGCGCACAAATGATGGGTTTCCACAGACTCTGCCTGACAATGATAATGCGTACGAATGAAATGTGGGCATTATATAGATACTTATATCAATCTGGGCAACAATTAAAGCTAAAAAAGAATAGAGAAACTGAAGCTAAAGATGTGAATGCATTGTAACATGGGTAAAATTTGAGGGCAGCTTGAAGAGCTTAGATTGGACATGGTTATTGAGATTTTAGATACTTTTAGATAATGGTTTATGCGGGTTTATGTGTAAAAATTATACTTATCATTATTATTATAATAAGATGATGTTATAAGTAGTTATGTTATTCCTTGAGCTCTGTTTTGAGCCTATATCATATCTATTTATTTCCCCACGTTCTTCTTAAATCCTTTGTCGATTTCTCAAATAAAAAATAGATCCACAAAACAGAACTTCAAGATAAGCTTATTAATTAGAAAGTTTCTTTTAAGCTACTACTAAAAATGTATCTTTCCAACGCAATCCATTAAGTCAAACAGAGCTCCACCTTCGATCCATCATAGTCCTTTAACCTTGGTTATTTATCGGTCGACCCACCCAACAAAACCCACTTTGGAATAAGAACAAAACACTAGACTTATGGCCACCTTCTCCCCTCCAGAAATAAGGCGACATTTGCAAAACAAATCGAGTGTGTGTGACTTTAGTATTTAATTACATATAAAGAAGCAGAAAAGGGGAATCCCCCTAGGGAAGCTATACACTGTCCCTGAAAAAACACACATCTCATCGTAATCATTCGATTAATATTATCCTGAAATCAGGTACATGGTCGTGCAAATATATATTTATCCCATGGAAACAAGATAGATAAGATATTGATGGTAAAACTACTTGATTGGTCACACGCCCAACTCGGAAATCTCAAGTACTTTGGCCGAAAATTTAAGGCACTCGTAAACTTTAATTGATCCACAAATGTTGCCACAATATAGAATACAATATACAAAAGGTGCGAAACTAAAATCTATCATCATAATCATCGTCATTATTATTGTGAGGGAATATTGGGGTTAGATGGCAATTGCCTGATATGCCAATCACTCGATTATGTGATGTTGCTTACTTTAGTTAGTTACTCTTAGTTAGCTTTTAGGTTAAATTCGAACAACTACTAACATCTACTAATCGCAATCGAAAATACACACACACACACATCTTGTTTGTTATTTTTTTTGCACCACTATCTTCGATCGACCGACACACGTTTAATCGCTTTTAAATCATTTACGAGGCAAATTAGCACTTGAACCTTATACAACACGAGAGCCCAATAACGAAAATTCTGCACCATAAACAATAAATCGCTGAAGCTGGTTAAAGGAAATAACAAACAAACAGCATGAGTCTTCAGGTCTTTCTATAATTCATAAAATAATAGAAGAACAATTTGTGGCGCTGTTGCCAGGTTCCCTGAAGAATATTGTTTTGTTTTTTCACTTTTCCAATGCAATCTTTGGCCGGAAACACTTCTACTTATGTGGTAAATACTATATACTATATAGAGCTAAAGGTGTCCCAACGACATTGACAAATTTACGAAGCAAAGATTGGGTATCGGGATTTGTTAACAATTTGAAAGGTGACTGGGCATTATCCAGGGGAAAAATCTTAGTTACCTGCTTAAAAATTAAATAAAATATTAATTAATATTAATAATATTATTTAAATACAATTTTACAAAAAAATTGTAGATAAATACATAAGGGTTATATATCAAGTTTGATGAATATCTGTTAAAAACTGGAAAAGTTTTAATATTTTTTCTTAAAATTTTACGATCGTTCCTATGGTAGCTATATATATATATATAGTCCACCGATTCGCCATGCGCCGACTTATATATTAGTAAAATTATATAGAAGAATAACTCCATAGTTTCATTCAAATAGCTTGCTCTTAAATTTGTTCCAAAACAAATCTTGCACATCTGTGCATATGATTCCCAACTTGTTCTAACATCCCCGGAACGAAGTGACTGCTGCCAGCCAAGTCTCAGATATGTGTTGTGTTACAAAAGTTGCAAGTCATTGTTTATTAGTGTTTAAAGTTAGCAACTGATCATACATACTTACTGGTCATAGATACTTACTGATAATAGTTAATTAGTGATCATAGTTACTCACTGATCATAGCTATTTAGTGATCATATATATCTACTGATCATAGTTACTTCATGTTCAATGATACTTACTGATCATAGTTACTCACTGGTTGAGAGATACTTACTGATCCTCTGCATTTAACAACCGTTTCTCTGGCAGTTATATTATATAGTATTTCGGTTTTCACACATAAGTTTCTTTGTATATAAATATTTTGTTTATAACAACAAAAAAAAAACTGGTCTAATTCGTGGACTTTGTTTAAAAACCTTATCAAAAAGCAAAGCAAGAACAGAACAGTGTCGTCGTCTGACTGTCTGGAAAGCCCGAGGCCAAGATAAAGACTCGAAAACTGCTGCTGCTATAGCAGCTGCTTCTGCTATATAGTCAAATATATCGGGAATTGGAAATTCGACTAACAAAAAAGTAAATAAATTAATTAAAAAAACTCGCAAACAAAAAGCACGTGACCAGCGATAGCGATGAGAGCAGATAAAACTATGGAGATATATGCACAAAAGCAAAATCTGTATATAAAGTATGTAGTATATATTGCGAAATTGGATTTGCCTCGAGGTTATCGACTCATTTTTTATGTATATAAACACATTGGAATTTTGAACTCATCGAAATAATTGTTGCATTTAGCCGGAACAAAGTGGATGATGTCCAATGGGATTAATGAACATTTAGAACTTTTAATCTATTATTTTTTAAATTTTATTACTGTATTTTTAGTTACCTAAACAGATGGGTTTAGCAGTGCAATTAATCAGTTGGAATATACATAAATATATTTATATAGTAAAAACTGTTTGCTTTTGCAGTTAGATAAAAGTGGAGGTTACAACGTGCTTGTGATAGCTGAAACAAATAATATATCTTAATATATATTTTATGCATTATAATTAAATATATAACTTTTCAATCATGGCAACCAAATATTCCTTTTATTTCTATAATATTTCTATACATTTCCAGATTTCTTTTTCTTTTTAAACCATAATGAATGAGAGGTTCAAGGGTCTGCTGTTGATTTGTAGATGATGATGAAATGTTTAAAACAATTAAAGAATACAAATCGAAGATTTCTTTAGACCAAAATCGTTGGGGTATTTTGTGGA